TCAAAGTGAACTATCCCTTTAAGGTAGGCTATTTTTTCACAATGAAAACATCTTAACATCCACATTGTTTACACCTTGTGGTTATACTTTTTAAAGTTTATGAATTGGTTTATTGAATTAGGTGCCTTTTTTACTTTAAGGAAAGAATGGACAAATTTAGTTGTAATCAACATTCTGTCCAAATAAATCTAAGAAGCAGCTATGGCTAAAATGTTTCCATTAGATTAATATGCTGTTTATACACTATAGTGTCTTTAATAAAACTATCAATCGTCTCACAAACATCACAAGTTTTTCCTCAGGGGAAAGCTTACTTCTGTTTGGTTGCTGCCTTGCTGGGCTGGCTTACATTTTTTATTGGTTTTTCCAGAAGATGAGGAAATAGAAAGTGAGCGAGAAGGTCTAGGGGCCATAATGGCCCTGAAACAGGCCCGAAAAGTCTTTATGGAAGTGCCAAATATGAATCATTGCAGTCCGGATGCCAGACGCGCCTCTCGTGTGTTGCTAAGAGAGAACCTCCCAATAATCCACTCGTGGAGGAGCAGCCAGAGGGGAGGCGAGCGGGGGGCTAAGTGCTTCAGATGGCTGTACAGTTTCAGTTGTGTTAGATATGACTGGATGCTCCTATTCCTGTAAAGGCCACCTGGGTGGTCCGAGGCGGGGGGCTGGATTTTAATACTGCCACCTATTAGCTCCAGTGGGCTGTGATTTATGCAGCTGTCAGCTTGAACTTCATCAGGCTTGCAGGCCCCGATGAGTTGTGGGCACCCAAATCGGGGCCCGAGCCTCCCAGCCTCTCTCTTAAGGAGCTAAAGTAAACGTTCGTCATAGGGAGGGAGAGAAAGGAGAGCGAGAGAAGGAAGAAAAAAATGAGAGGAAAATACTCAGTGCATACCTCTGTCTTGCTCAGTCTCCCTTCTGAAATATGCTCCCTTTTGAATGTTTGGCCTGTTGAGAGGCACAGAGAGAGGGAGAGGGCAAAAAAAAAAAAATGTTTGAAATTGAGCGTAATAATTGTGTTTAGACGCCAAGAAGTTTTATGCTTAATGACATCATACCCAAAGAGAGCTTGAGCAACTTTGTTTGTTTTCTGCATGTAGACCATGATGCAGGAAGAAAAAAATACATAAAAAATATTTCATTGTAGCTCTATTTATTATTGAAAGTTCTTTCTAAATGAAATGAAAAATAAAAATGTGTAAAATTCAAATCTCTTAGAAATGGCATATGCTGTTTTTCAGTAAGCAATCAGAACTGGACATCACGGGTTGGATCCACTAGCCAAGAAAGACAGTCTTCATTTAAAACCAGGTATCATAATTTGAGCTCTGGCGCCACACTTATAATCCTTACAGTCAAACAATTATCCTGATCTAGATTCCTGGAGCATCTGTTATTAATAATGCTAGACTTTGCTAGTGGAAATTATGTTTCTTGTTCAATAATAGTAAGACAAAGAAGTTCATGATGCTCATTGTTTCACTTTATAAACATAAATGCAACACGCAATCTGAATGTGCTACTTTTTCATGCAATCTGGTATCCATCTAACAATCATAGCTTATGTTCACCTTTCTGCTATCTGCAAATATACACTACTGTTCAAAAGTGTATATATATATATATATTCAGCACAGCTGTTTTCAACATTAATAACAACAAAGAAAGAAATGATCAGTAGAATTATTTCTGAAGGATCATGTGATGAAGACTGGAGTAATGATACTGAAAATTCAGCTTTGCAATCACAGGAATAAATTACATTTTTCAATAATAAAATTAAAATCAGTTATTTCGAATTGTAATAATATTTCACAACGTTGTTATTTTTACTGTATTTTTTATCACATAAATGCAGTATTGGTTAGCATAAGAGACTTCTTTTAAAAGCTTTTTTTCATGTACAATAAATAAATGTTTCATAGAAAAGTGTGTAACCTCATTTGTCTGTCTAAAAGCAGCATTACAGTTTTACCTGTCAAGGAACTCTATTAAAAGGGCCCCAAACATTTTGTCAGTCCAAACACTTTGCATTGACAGATGACTTAACTGACTGAGAGATGACTGTAATTTAAGTGAAAGAGTACATTAGAGCCATATAACAGCCAGCCATAGCCAACACATATGCCCTATGTATGTGCAAATTTCTGAAAACAGTACTTTTATGATGCAAAAGTACTATACGAGTAACTATTTACATATATTTTTAGTAGCCCCTAAACATCAACAAGTGACTATGTCAACAGAAGAAGCGTTTCACATCCCTCTTCCCTTTATTTTACATGTGGGAAAATGCACAACACAAAACTCTCAGTCGCTCAACGCTGCCTTAATCACCAATCAAAATAACACCCTGATCTCACCACGGCTTAATATAAAACATCAGCAACACTATGAAGAACACATGTCTCTTTTCTCTATTCATTATGAAGAAGGTGTTAGCACTAGCATGGGGTCCTCACTAATTGGCCACCAGATGGTCATTATGTGGCATGTTGTGTTAAGGGGGGTTTGGTGGCTGGTTGCTGAGCACCTGGGGTGTTTTCTGATTGGAGGTTTTCTTGACAAATGATTTATTCGTGTCAAGTCACTGGTCGGACCTCTGTAGCCACAAGGCACAAATTAAGGGGTATTTCCAAAAAAAAAAAAAAAAACGGCAAGGCCACGGGCTAGAAAGACTTATTTACACAATGAGTATTTAACAATGTAAGGGGTCAGGCCATTCTTTTGATTCACTCTTTAATGATTCAAAGCACAAGTTAATGTAATGTTTTGGTAACTTCAATCCATATCTATAAGCTCTTTCTTTTTACATGTTTTGTCTGTATATATCCTTAACTCAACATTTAACATTCTCTTTTAATTCTTCAGTCAAGATCTTTTCAAGGCCAAGTCCCTAATTAAAGTATGCCTAATTTACGATGTGGTGCGCCTGAGTGCAAATATTTGGTTTCACTGTGTCCTATCTGGGGTTAAACCCATGTTACGCTCTTCAGAGTTGAAAAACTCTTGCACATGCGCGTGTGACACTCGCCTCTTCAGTCAAGCTGCCTGCACGGAAAGTGGTTTGCTTAATTTACATCGGGTCATGTGCAGAGGTCATACTTGTGATTTTGCAAAAAGGCTTTGCTTGAGGTCACCAGCAAACTTTCCAGATGTGCCAGAATGTGCATAAGCAGAACCATGTAATTTTGTGACATGATGATTATTAAAGATGGAAGTTTGGATTCCCAAGTAAAAAAAAAAAGGGTAACTCAACATAATTTAGAGTTTAATTATAAATGGATGGAGCTCTTGCATGAGGTTGGACTAGTGATCATTAATGTTAATGCATTAGGTATTGTGATCAACTTTTAAATCATTTAATAATCTATGTTAAATTTAGTTTATAGGCTTTTTTGTAATAATTTATACATGTTAATTCATGTCTGGTCACAACGTTAATGTTAATGGCTAGAAATGAACATTGCCATGTAAATGCTTTGTTCGTTTTTCACGCAGGCTAACTGAGATCTAACTGTGTGAGCATTAATTAGGTTTAATTATTTAGTATCAGCACTTCTCTAAATGTTTGCTGATGAGCCATGTCTCTGTTCATGGGTTTTGGGTCTTGATCCAAAACAACGAACCCATACAGCCCTCATTGTCCTCTACACTGAGTTTTGTGTGCAGAAGAAGCTCAGTTTGTTTAGCTCAATGAAGCATTCTAACCCCAGATGGCCAGGTGCCTGATGGGACATATGGTGAGAATCTATCTACCCCAGGCAGGGAGATGATGGAAGATTCATGGAGTGCTCATTGGCTCTCTGGTACATACCACTTGGGGCCAGGGGTCAAATGAAGAGAAGATTAGACTTCAGTCTGTCTCTGTTTCTCTGACTTTAGCTGTTTTACAGCATTTCTTGAGTTCTGGGGTTTGTGGACTTGGAGAGAAACGCCATCATGCGGATGTCAGAGTAATAGCAACGAGTGACATGGGGGAAGATTCACCACTTAAAGGAGTAGTTCACTTTAAAAAAAAACAACAAAAAAACTTTTGCTGATAATTTACTCACCCCCATGTCATCCATGTCCTTTTTTCCTCAGTCGAAAAGTAATTAAGTTGTTTGATGAACACAGTCCAGGACTTTTCTCCAAACAGATTTTTTTCCACATAATGGACTTCAGTGGGAACCAAACGGTTCAAGGTCCAAATGAGAGTTTCAGTGCAGTTTCAAAGGGCTTTAAACGATTCCAGGCTATGAATAAGGGTCTTATTTAGCGATTGGCCATTTCAAAAATTAATAAAAAAGTTTAAGTTTTATAGGCACAAATGCTCGCCTTACTCTGTTCTGTGATGAGCATTCGTGACTCTTCTGTTCAAACTCGTTGTAGCATATATAGCATATTTAGATGTTTAGCATGTGCAGGATGATGAATCATCAGCCAGTGTGTTATCATGGGAAATAAATAGGAACATTTGTTAAGTTGTAGGACAAAATGTAAAATTATTCAGAGACGCCAAATCTTATCCCACTATAAGTTGTCCCCCGGGTTAAAAGTTAAACGAATGTATAAATAATAAAAATATTCTGTGACTTATATAGGCATATGAATATTTACACATTTAATTGGCTATATTTTAATTAAAGATATGTGCATAGCTTCACTATGATTGCAAATTCAAGTATTTCACTCAATTAACCTAGGCTTTAATGAAAACAAAGATGTCTGAAATGTACATCTAACTCATGGAAATACTGAATAATAACACTATTAATAACAATAAAGATTAACTTTTAAAATTACACAAGTAACAACATGCCATTTTGGGTCTTCTGTGCCAAAACTTTGATATTCAACTTCATAGATCATATTTTTCCACGGAAACAAAATTAGATCAATTGACCCGGACTTACCCTAACTTCCTGTACAAGCTATAAGCATTGACATTGTAAGGATAAAAAAAAAAAAAAAATACAAAGTAAAATATAAGAATACACTGCAATGATTCGTTTTCATTTATTTAATCATTAAAAAAAACAACAACTTTAAAATCATTTTGAAAGGTTAGGTAAAAATGGAACTAGAATGCACAGACATTTTGGAAATTACATTTCATAAGTTTTGTGTTGTACCATGGGTAAAAATCATATTTGAACAGTATAGGCCTTCGCCTACTGTAATGACATGTGTGTAGGCTACATGGAAATAGGAGTATACTGTATTGTACTGTTTGTTGTTGTATTTACTATTTAGATTAGAATGAGGTAGAGATGTTATCATCCCTTCAAGCATTAAAAGCAAAACATACTGAGTTTCTGAACTATACTTTAAAAAGAACAGCATGTCAGAAGCTTTAGCGTGTAGGCTACATTAAAAAAAGCACCATTTACATTTTATAAAATTTGGTTTCTTAAACTTGGTTTCTCATGATGTAATAAAACAAAAACAAAACAAGAGAACCTTTGCGGGAAAACATCCTGTTGTGCTTAACTGGAAAAACATCCAATAAGCTTTTACAATGAGGTAAGTAAAACAATGTTCACATTCTCGGATGGTAAGCTATATGAACAATCCCAAAGGCTATATGAGGCTATATGATGATATGACAAAACAGTAGGTACGGTAGGCTATATGACAAAACCCACCAATTGATCATTAATGAGGTAAGCATATTCTGCTGTGATACAAAAAAAACAAAAAAAAAAAACTGTATTGTTAGCCTTCCAATTCCAAAGTTCCTGGACTTCACCATGATGTGCAGATGATTTCATTTTTGAATATTTAATTCTGGTGATTATCCACATTGTGACGAGACACTGCTTCTCTGGTGGACAGTGTTTTTCAATTCTATGGTTGAGCTTGTTGGATCATTCAGTCCAAATCGTATAGAGGCCATAGCCTGGAATAACTGGGCCTGAAATTCAGTCTCTGGTTTTGCTTTCTCACAGAATTGCTTCTCCTTTGGAGTGAGATCATTCCCCTCAGGTATCTAAATAGATAGGACATGATAAACAAACGCATTCTCATGCCAAAGCACCATATACAACGCTTTTGCAAAAGCGTAAATATCCAACGCACCCTTTAACGTCTAATGAGACGCTTCGGTTATGGTTAAGTTTAGGTATGGTGTAGGGTAAGGGTTAGACCACTAGGGGGCGCCTTCTGCCCAAATATATCTGCGTCTCATTTTACGTTAAAGGGTGCCACCATGTGCGTTGGATATTTACGCTTTTGCAAAAGCGTCCCATATGGCGCTTGATAAACTGTTCATTCCAAACAATACATTTACACAGTTCTACACTGCCACCATATGGCCCAAAGCTGCATGTTTTTATTATTCTGATAATGATATTGTGATAATGTTATGATAGCCTATACATTAACATATAACATTATATATAACATTACATATAGGCTATATAACATTAACATTATGCATTAATAATGTTATTAAGCATGTATACTTTGACACGGTACTGTTCCTTGTCGGAATAGTAAACAAAAACAACAATAAATGATGAGGGGGAAAAAACAAAACAAAACAAAAAACACTTACTTCAGCAGACACTCTTAGCAGCCATATTTTCTCCTCATCTGTAAACTCCATCCCAGAACTGAAACCTGCAAATAATGCCTCAATTAATGATGGCAAACAAATTAGGTTGTTGAAAGAAATTAGACATTTAACAATTAAATGTAAAATATTATGCTTTGACGTCTTAGCCTGTTAGGTTCTCTATGAGCCGATTTGCCTAAATTAGGTATAATAGCCTAAGCCCACAAATGCAAATGTACAGGCCTGTACTGTGCATCAAAATGAAAGTGAAATAAAAATTAAACAGGCAAGGCTATTATAGCCTATTCGCTTAATTTTCTTTGCAATAAAATAGTTTGCAATATTAAATAAACGTCTTTAAATTAAAATTGGATTGATAATGTGTAACCAATCTTACCCTTAAATGAGAAGATCTGCGTTTTAAAATTGCCTGCTGATTACATTGCTTCATGACAAGCATACATTTTAGTAGCTACAGTATCGAATGTCGTCTGGCTCTTACTGTCCTGTTATAAAGTTTCTTTCTATACAAACGTGATTTTGACTTACCTTTGAAAATCTTTTAACGTGAACAAACAATAGGCTGTTTGTTTTTTCGTTAAAAGCAGCGCCTTGCTTCTTTTAAGCGTTAATGAGGTCTGACCAGTTAGATAGCATCTTAAACAGCAGAACTGTTTTTGAGAGAACTTGACAAAAAAAGAAGTCTATATGTGAGCAGACATTCTGCAGACAAAAATCAGCTAAGTCAAGCCGGCTGCGGAAGGACGAACGCGACGCGAGGGGGGAAATCGATCCTTTCACTATTAGCAATTAAACCAAACTGCAATATGTTCGAAATAAATCAAGTGTTTAGAATAAAAGTATTACATTCTGCCACTCTGACCGCTAATACTTGTGATTATCCGGTTTGATGAACGACCTGCACTCACGCGATTTGAACTAAATCATAAGTGAAAGTGAAAATAACGCATTCTGCTAGTTTCACTATTCAAAGTTATTATGATAAACAGGAAATGGTTAACAGCAGCCTTCAACATATATTTACAAAAGTGAGACATAAAGGAGTGGAAAGATACCGTTTTATTTCATCTGCAACATATTTTCTCTTCTACACATTCACATATTGAGAAAAGTCCCTTCTTATAACAAAGGACAATGGTTGTTTTATGAATGAACATTACCAGGATATTTTGAAAAAGTATTGACAGATCAAGTCTACACACTACAGACGTTCTGACAATTGACTAATGTGATTTAAAATATCGTCATTGATTTAAAACAGAGCCCCTTAACCACACAGATCAGTTGAGACGTAATCTATACAGAAAAGCAGCACACTGTTGCCTAGTGGCATCTGAACATATGGCATGCATGTTAAGTAAAGGTTTGGCAGAAGGTTTAGGGAGTTCAGAATTCCTCTTCTGCGTTTCGGGTTCTTGAGGCCTTCAGCTCCTTGAGGCGCTCCATGCAGTCCGTCAGACTCCTCTCTCCGTGCACCTTGTTGTCACGAGTCCTGACATTCACAGTGTCACTGCTCTTCTCCTTCTCACCCACCACTGTCATTGCATAAACAGAAAGTTAGAATCACAGTGAATTCATGACAAATTACTACATTCCGTAAAAATAACTGCAGCTGACATTTCTATGCAAATGGAAATGCAATTTAAATTTAAAGTGCCCCTTTTATGCCATTTGTAAGGCTATTAATTTTGATTTGAAGATGTCCTACAAAGGTGCAGCATCACCCTTTATCACAAAGTCTTTGAAAATTGTTCAATGAAGAATTTGGTTTCTTGAAACCTCTCCTTTCCAAGAGCCTACTCTGCTCTAATTGGTCAGATGGCCCAGTTTGTTTTGATTGGTCTACCGGGAATGGCCAAAATGACTTTTTGACATATCGTAATTTGCATGGGACATGTCCCCACCACTTTTTGAAACAGCTCTCGGCACGGATGTAAGCTACCTAATATAAAAGAATCTCCAGTTGATTAGCAATTTGTTTGTTTGTGTTAAATAAGACGCTCATTGCCGCTGTTATCAGTGGCGGAAGGCAACAGTGCTCTTTTGGTGTTCACGCTTTAATTTATAGACTGGGAATTCTGCATTGCATTCTGGGTAGGTGCAGCCATGTTTTAGGACACTCAGGAGTATACAATGATAACGTACACATCAAAAAAGAATAAAACAGCTACATACATAAATACTTTTTAAGAACTGCTTGCACTCACTTTAAATATTCAAATATTAGTCATTTTATTCTGAGTACATTTGTGTGGCCAAGACACTGCACATATCAATCACATATACACTCATAGAAATCATATGGTCGCCTTCTATCGGACCACACACAAAACCAAACTTATTGCCACTTTTTAGTTATTAAAAAATAAACTGCAAAAGAGGACTGATATATCTGCTTGCTATATGCAATATATCTATATAACAACACTGTGGCCCTCTGCAATGCAGCACTGAAATGGTTTGTATTGTGAATACAATATTGTGAATAGATTGTATTGTATTTTTGACTGGACTTAAATGGAACAAGTACAAGATTCCTTTTACTGAGAGAAGCTGAACAATAATCAAAGAGCGCTATTGTAAGATCATGGAGAGTGATCGCAATGAGCTATACCAGATAACATTTCATTTATACAGTATATAATTCATGTTTTTAAACATTATTTATCACATGAGCACTTACACTTCAAGTGGTTCAGAAATGATGAATCAGTAATACATATGTGATGAATAATAAATATATAAAATGCAAATTATAAAGCCACATTTTGGTTATGTTGATTATTTTCATTGAGTTTTACTTTACCATTGTGTTGTTTCCCAGCTGGTAAACTGAAAAATTGCACTTCATTTGAGCTTTTCCACACCGATCGTGAGAGCGGCTATGGCAATTCTCACAGCAACAGTGCAGGTAAACTCATTTAGAATTGTGCTCTTGCAAACTATAAATCAAACTTAGAGGAAAAAATAATGTTTTTAAACTAAGACTGTTTGTCAGAAGTTTAGTGATGATGACGCTAAAGTCATGCAACCGTAGTGTAGATCGTTTGTAGGCTACATTTAGCTCTTGACTTCTGTCAATTTTACTTAGGCTTTAAAATACATGGAGAATGTGTTCATTTGCGAAAATTTAACAGGAACAGGACCAAACCATGATTCTTTTACAGTGTCTATTCAAATAAAACCATTTTCGAATGTTAAGGTTATGTTGGATCACTTACCTAAAATGAAGTTGTACTGAGCTAACTGTGCATTTCTGATCTTTTTGTTCAGTGTGCAGCCTGGGTCCAGGTCCACATCCGTCATCAACCCTCCCTTGTGGAGCTCCTGTTGTACCTGAGATTAACAAGGGATTTTTAAGATTCTAATTATGACCTGGTATGCTGGAATGAGAGCAAACAGATATAAAATTGCGCCATAAATTTCGAGCAGAACTTACTCTCTGGGCGTATTCATCACAAGTAGGTCCTACGGGAACCACCATCACCTGACGTGGGGACAGCCACAGTGGCCTGTGGGACACCAAAGCAGGAGAATATGTTATAAGCACATATTAGTGCGAGACTAAATTTTATCATGTTAGCGTCTCTTCATTAGCAGTACCATTTTCCTCCATAGTTTTCAGTCAGGATGGCGATCATGCGTTCCACTGAGCCCAGGATCGCTCTGTGGATGATTACTGGTCTCTTCTTGTCATCACCATCATGGCTGAAGACAAACAAGATATGGTTTACAGGATCAGCAAATTAGACAGCTGACGATCATGAAGTGAAATGCAGGAGTGTAGTAAACAAATGTAACCACAGAATGTCACTGTTGTACTGGGAACAAAATCATTGTTCCTTGTTATTATTATATACAGATGCAATGTTTTCTTGAGTGAACATACCTTACAAAAGTGAGATTGAAACGAATAGGCAACTGGAAGTCCAGCTGAATGGTGGCACATTGGTGATACCTGCCGATGGCATCCTTTATCTGAATATCAATCTGAATGACAGAAAAACACATACATACTTGAGTTGAGCGTAAAGTCATTTTTATAAGCGTTCATATATTTTGCTTTCATTATCTGCGTGTACCTTTGGTCCGTAGAAAGCTCCATCACCAGGATTCAGAACCCATTTCTCTCCAAACTCATTCAGGCTGTTCTCCAGTTGCTAAAACAATTAACAAGGGCTTAATGAATTCAAACTGGAAGAGATATGCACACTTCATCATGCAAATCATAAGAGATTAACTGTATTAAAAATAAAAATTATTGAGATGTTATAATAGTGGTAAAATTACACCTTATATTACGTACACCATGGTTCAAAAGTATGGCGTCAGTAGGATTTTTAAAAAATAAATTAATAATTTTATTCAGTAAAGATTAATTAAATGTGACAGTGAACATTCTGCTTTGGCATCACATGAAAAAAAAAATAGTAAATATTAAAATTAGAAAACAGATATTTTAAATAGTAATAATATTTCACAATATTACATTTTTACTGATTTCTGATCAAATAAATGCAGCCTTTTTAAAAAATCTTACCAACCCTAAACTTTTGAACAATAGTGTATGCAAATTGGTTCGCTTTCATGCACACTGATTTCTTTTTAAGTTTATGATCAGTTTCAAATTCTACCTTTTCAGCCTGGTCCCAAACTTCAGGTTCTCCTAGGAACTTCTCTGGCCTGGTAGAAAGGTTCAATTTGAAGGTGAAGCCAAACACCTCATACACCGTACGCAGGAAGTCGAGACAACCCTTTATCTCAGATTCAATCTAACAGGAGTTAAAGGAAGAAGGTGAGATGAGGAAAAAAAAAAATAGCCTACCTCTTATTTGCAATTCAAACAAAGTATTAATGTACTCATGAACTCAACAGTCATTTAACACTGAAAAATGCAGACCAATAATTTTCCATGGCATACTAAAAATAACAAAATAATTCTACAGATATAAAAAGAGCATATCCAAATACCTTTATATTCACAAGATAAATTATGGATATAAGATCTTATTAATTTCAATGACTTCTCCAGGTTTGGGAAATACTTAGTTCTAAAGTTCTTGAGTCTGATTGGCTCAGAGCCTCTTCCAGCCATGCGATATTTTATCACTATCAAAGCAAATCTTAATTCACTTAAACTAACTATAGAGCACTGCTTGTGCTTATATCCTATTGTACACTTTTAAAATGGCTATAAGTGTTCATTTAAATATTGTTCAACAAATAATATTTGACTTTATATAAATAATATGCCATATTTGCTATTGAGAAAGGGCCGTTAAGGATTGTGACTTCAAATTCAGTGAAAAGTTCAACTATTATGCCTGTAGATGGCGACAGACACTGCTTTATTAGTGAGTCAGGAGCGAAGAATGGGACTGAAACATGGTTGTGAAGAAGGACATTATCTTTTCTTTAAACAACACCTTATAGGATGCAATCGACAAATGCATTGACCAGCGCAGTCATAGGAATTCCTCATAACCGTTAAAAGGACACTAAGACAAGGATATCGCCTTCCTCAGTGGACATTCTAACTGTTGTTGTTTTTTTTTTTTTTTATTATGAATATAAGATTGACATGAAGGATAAATGCTAAAGGCCAATCAGATGTAGGTAATACACTTGCTTAATCTAGCTCTCTTTCTCATAATACAATAAGCTTCCATGAAATTTCATTTTAGAATTATTAACGGAGGCTTGGGCTCAACTGTTGAACTGTCAACTTGAGATTTGCACAAAGACGTTTTTAAAAGAAACTCTGTTGTCGTTTCTTATATATTTACACACTTGTGCCAACGAACTTCTCATGTGATATTGCTCATGTAACGTGCCTGGTCCATAGAGCAGAAGATGTGAGCGTCATCTTGTTGGAAGCGTCTGACTCTTGTCAGGCCGCTCAGAGCTCCAGACAGCTCATTACGATGCAAGACCCCAAAGTCGGCCAGACGCA